TTGCTCAGTCGGGCCGAGGTTCCCCTTCCCCAAAGAGGTGTCACAGCCAAAGTTGGGCCCTACTTTTCAAGGACATGAATGCCCCAGAGTAACCACTAAAGCTCACCAGTTTCAAACACAGGTACACCAGAAATCGAAGCCTGGACAAATAGCCTGCCTGTCTTTTTTTTTTTTTTTTTTTTTTTTTAAGTCTTTGTATGGTTTGTATGTGCACAACCGGTGTTTGCTGAAACTGTCCTTATGAACATCCCCAATAACTACGCCATAAAAAAGAGTCGCAGGCTTGTTAAGATGCCGGTTTGAGAAATCATGATGATCCATCAAGTAGACCTTCACTTTGAAGTGTAAATAATCCTTCTTTAATAACATGCAAATAATGTCTGAGTAAATAATGATAAAATGTAAACAGCCTGGCTTTCTTTAGTCACTGCTGCCCCTACACACACACACAAACACACACACACACACACACACAGTCCCCAACTAGGTTCTGCAGATATTCTGGTTTAATGATTCCCGTGCTGTTTTGTTTTTATACCAGGGGATGTGGCTCTAAATCAGCCAGACATGTGTGTCTACCGTCGTGGGAGGAAGAAGAGGGTGCCCTACACCAAACTGCAGCTCAAAGAACTGGAGAACGAGTATGCCATTAACAAGTTCATTAACAAGGACAAGAGGCGGCGGATCTCGGCTGCTACGAACCTATCCGAAAGACAAGTGACCATTTGGTTTCAGAACCGGAGAGTGAAAGACAAGAAAATCGTCTCCAAGCTCAAAGACACTGTTTCCTGATATGGGCCGGATTGGCCACAGAGCGTTTAAATGCTTTCCGCTGTCTCCAAAAGACCTTTGGAAAGACTTGAATATGTATTTAATTCCCTCCACCCCCTGCCAATAATGGCACATTTTGTGAATTGTTTTTTTCTCTCTCCCCTTATCTTGCTCTAAAACTTTTTGCTATCCCACCTGACTTTGTAGTTCTGTTTCTGTTTCTTACTTGTTTATTATTGATTTTGTTCTTTTCTAGGTTTATTTTTTTATGACTTTTTGATGTTCTGTTTCTCCCTCCAGGCCAGTATAAAGGACTTGAAGTATTTTTTAATACCCTCCCCTCACCCCCAATGAATTTCAAAAGTGCCATTCTGATGTTAGGGATTTATTTTTTTTTAATCACTTTAAATGCCTATTTCCAGCACTGAATATCTTCATAATCCATTAGGGCAAAACGTTTGCAGTCATTCATATCCTGTGACTGGGTAATTGAATAATTACCTCTCAGCAATTGCCCTGAAGCAAGTGAAAACAGCTCTGGGCCGGCAGTGTTCCAGGGTCACTGGAAGTGTCTAAAAACAGGAGGCTGGAGGCACTGTGATGGCTTTAAAAGCAGCTACCTTATTAAATAGTGTTTGTATTGTGATGAAGACAATCTATTCGACTTTGGGTCTTTCACTTGCTGTTGTAGTTGTATGTGTTTAATACACCTTGTAGACATGTGCTTTTATAATCTTTGATTTGAAAATAATGTGTCCTTGTGGATACCTTTATTACCCCAGCTCTTGATGCAAATATTTCAATGGCTGCAATTGTCAGAGGTATCAAAATGCAACCCTTTCCTTGGCTCCCAGTCTGTGGGACTAGAATTGAGGCCATCGCCTGCATCCTCAGAAGAAAGGCTGAATGAATATGACCAAGAGTGGAAACTTTTACCAGAACCCATTGAAGAATTTGACTACCTGAACAAATGTATTGGGCCTCTCTCAGAGCTATATAACATCTAACAAATGCAAAAATTGTGGAGCTTTAAGGTTCAAGAAGAAGAAAAAGAAGATGTTTCTGAAAGTGATAACTGCTTTTAAAGTGCTGCATATTTATGTGACTGAGAGATTATTTTTGTAGATGAAATGTCTGTGAGCTGGGATACAGGAGCAGTCCTTCAGGCATTTAAATATCACTTTTTACTCCTAGGGAGATGCAAATAAACAGAACTCTCTTATTTCCTCTGAGTCTTTATACATTTGTTTTCTTTTCCAAGCTTATGTTGCCTCTAGAAACTATTCTTATTTATTATAAAATTTTGTTATCCAAATCACTATGATGTTTCCTATGGGTGATGAAAACTCAACGCCATTTCTGGAAACCCCCTCCTCTCCAGTCTGCCACTCCTCCCCCCCTTCCCCATGGCTTTAATATAAATAGTGATGACTTTAAATGAGGATATAACTTGTGGTGTCTAAAATGATAAATTTTTTTTACCAGACCACCTCAAAAACATCTCCAATAAAATTTTACTTCTCTTTGAACATTATCAATTTATCCAGTTTTATTTTTAAAAATCAATAGGTATTTTGATTGAAAAATGTGGGCACAGGAAAACACGCTCACTTGGAGGTTTTCTTCTTAGAAAGGTTGTTATAAATATCTATCTCTCCTCGAGGAAGGTCTTGAAATTAGACATACCCATATTTGGCAATTGAAAAAAACATCTCAGCTTTTGCCTTATCGCCTACTCTCGGCTTGCCTGCACGTAGCAGTTGAAGACTGGAACCATAATTATACACCCTAAGCCTCTGGACGCAAAGCTTAGGCACTCAGAACCGACTTTTTGCCTCTCAGGGAAATGGCCCTTCAGGAATGGGGTGCCTCATCATTGTTAACACCCAGGCACGATCAGTTTAGTGGTTGCTAACTTTTTGGAATGTAAGCTCGATACAGATGTTTAAAACCTCACACAGTATGTAAACTCCTCTGGTGGGAGGGCTCCTTTAGGCATCTGCCAGAGAAAGCGCAGAGATCCGAGGTTCTTAGCTACTTTCGTTTTCTCTGGCACGGCTTGGTTTCTCTCATATCTTGCAACTGATTGTGGGGTGGCCAACTTGGTTTTAATCATGAGTCTCTCTCTCTCTCTCTCTCTCTCTCTCTCTCTCTCTCTCTCTCTCTCTCACACACACACACACACACACACACACACACACACACACTGAGGGAGGAGGAGGTGGAAGAAGAGGAGGAGGAGAAGAGACCAGGATTCAGTCTCTGGAGAAGAAAGAATCCCTGAAAATGGGCCACACCATGCCGGACCTTCCACTTGGGGAAGAATTACCAACATTTTCTGTTTTTCTCATAAGATGTGTTTTCATCCGAAACGGGCCTGTTTTCCCTTCTCCATCATCGTTTTCCTCACCTTCCTGTCTGTAACTTCCAGCTTCAGGGGCCCGTCCTCCATTTCCTGGGTCCATTTCTCAGGTTTCCTATAAGTGAAAGGGGGGGGGGGGGTTGCTTTGAGGTTTTCCTTTCCTCCGTAGTTTCCCCGTCCGTTTCCCTCCGCCTAAGAGAAATGAGAGGTTTGCTGGAGATTAAAACTGCGCTTAAACGCTCTCCCGGCGGAATTTGAATTGACGGCTAAATCAATAACAGATGAAGACTGGGTTATTTATATGAATTCCTTTTATATTCCGGAGGGAGGAGGGAGGAGAGGAGCCGGCCGGTGGGCTCAGGGCTGGAAAGGAGGCTGGGAAGCGCGGGGAGCTCGGGGAGAGGCCTCGCCTTGGGGTGCAGACGGAGGCCCCGCGGAGAGCGCCTCCGAGGCCGGCGGGTTTCGGCTCCATGGGTGCAGGGAGAATGGAGGCCCGCGTGTCTGCGCCGGGTTCGAGAGGCGAAGGAGGCTTTGGAGCCGGGACGCACCGCCAGACAAAGGGGCGGCCGCGACGCTTCCCCGGTCGGCAGCCGGCGGAGTGGCTCTGGCTCCGCGGTCGCGGCCCGCCCCGCCGCCCAGGCCCCCGGCGCTCCGGCCGCCGGGCCGCGCCGGGAGGGCGGTGCGCGGTGGCTGCACCGGCTGGAGGCGCCGGCCGCCTGCGCCGCCCTTCACTGTTGATCTTGACCGAGCGGCGGCGCCTCTCCAGTCGTGGAGCTCGCTCGCCATCTCCTGGGCAGTTGGTGGCATTGGCAGAGCTCGCCGTTTCACTCCAAGGCCAAATTTCCTTCCCCATTCTCCAGCTCACCCCAGCCTCCTGCCTCCTCCCCGCGCGCCGCCCTCCTCCCGGTACCCAGCTCCCAGCTCCGAGCACACAGCTTAGCCTGCCGGCCCTCGGAAATCATAAACTCAGGAGATGGGGCGGGGCGGCTGAGCCAAGGAGAAAAAAATAATCTAGTTGTTCTGGGTGTTTTTTTTTTTAATGTTTTTTTTTTTTTTTCTGTGTCTCACTTAGTTCTTTTCTATCTTTAGTTGGGGCAAGGGGGGCGCGCAAACCGCAGCTGTGAGGCTGCTAAGTGTTGGGGTACACTTGGAAATACGGGGATCCTTGCTCACTGGTATGGGAGGAGAGGAGTCCGTAGGAACCCCCTGGAGCGGGAGCTTTTGAGCCTGGGGAGGCTGTAGCTCCTCAAAAAATGAGAGCCTGGGCCCCCTAAGTCCCAAGGAACTGAGGTTGCAGCCTGTGTCCTCCCCCTCCCCCCTGGAAGGACAGAGATGGGAGCGCGTTTCAGTGTCTGAGCGCCTAAGGAAACCAACCGACAGTCTGAGGAGCCCCCGACTCGCCCACCCCCACCCCCACCCCCACCCCCCGCCCTGGAGCGGGAGGAAGAGGCCGGTTGCGTTCCCCAGAGCCGCCCAATTGGTCGCCATAACTCACACAATAAAGTCGCAGCGCGGTGGTCAGCGTGCCCTCCGGCGGCGCCTGTGTGGTCCGGGGCCGGGCTGGCGGGCTAACCAATTCCAGCTTGGCTCGGGGACCGCGAGGCGGCTGCAGGCCGGGCCGGGCTCCGGGCAGGGGCCGCTGGGGGTGCTAGGACCGGGGGCAGGAGAGGAGGACCCCCAGCCCTCTGGCCAGGCTGCACCCAGGGCTCCGGGCACAGGAGGCTGCCCCGCCCACCTCCGTGCTGGCGGGTCCCCGGAACCCGCCGGCCTCCCAGGCCCCCGGAGGCGCCGAGCGGAGGAAGGCTGCTCGCCCTCTCCCTCCGCGGGCCCCGCCACGCCTGGCCGGCGGTTCTGGCTCTTCTCTCCGTCCTGACCCGGCTGGGGGCCGCCGCAGAGGGGATAAACACCTTGGACTTCTGCTTGGCAGGATGCAGTCGCCAAGGTGACTCCTTGCGGTAAAAAAGGAATGTAGCCTTGGCCAATCGAGCTGCCCCGCCAGGGCCTCCTCCGATGCAGAGGGCTTGGCCATGAAGAAGCACCCAGGATTGGTGCGAAGCCTCCTTCCCGGGGCGCCAGAGTTGGGAGAGTTTGTGATGCCCTTCTCCTCCATCCTCAAAACTCTGGGACGGTGCCCGCAGCCTGGACCCAGACCTCGAGCAAGGTCTTCACTGCCAGGTCCCCGGTGAAGAGTTCTCTCCAGGGAGACCGGATGGGGAGGAACGGGTTGGGAGGAGCATTGCTTAGGCCCAGGGATAGAGCTGGTGGCCGCACAGGGACCACGGGATCTTCTGAGACAAGCCGGGAGTCGCCGGGTGCTGGAAAAGGCCTCAGCTGCAGCTTAAAGCTGGGAGAAGCAAAGCCTGGCCCAGGTAAGCGGAGGAGACGGGAGCGCAAAGCCAATCAAGACCAAGAAGGGTCCCAAGGGACACTCGGGCAAAGCACCCTCTGCTCCCCAATGCCCCCAGCTCCTTACACTTGGGCCTGGGAACTCCCGCAGGCTTCCCCTCCCCTCAGTGTGCCTGGGCTCTGCCTGGCAGCCTGGTCCTTCGCCATCAAATATTGCGGGTGTTATCACAATACCCCGAAGGGGGGGAACCCGGGTCGGGGGATGTAGGCGGTGCTGAAATGACCGGCTTTGAAGAACCTGCAGGCAAAGTTTCGTCCAATCGTCGGAGCCTTGTCCTCTTATTCCCGGTTGTAACTAAATACTGCTGCGAGCGCAGCCCAGGCCCTTTGTTGGAGATGTGCGAGCGCAGCAGTCTCTACAGAGCGGGCTATGTGGGCTCGCTCCTGAACCTGCAGTCCCCGGACTCCTTCTACTTCTCCAGCCTGCGGCCGAATGGAGGCCAGCTGGCCGCGCTGCCCCCCATCTCCTACCCGCGCGGCGCGCTGCCCTGGGCCACCGCGCCCGCCTCCTGCGCCCCCGCGCAGCCCGCTGGGGCCACGGCCTTCGGCGGCTTCTCGCAGCCCTACCTGGCCGGCTCCGGGCCGCTGGGCCTGCAGCCCCTGGGCGCCAAGGACCGGCCCGAAGAGCAGGCCAAGTTCTATACGCCCGACGCGGTCGCCGGGCCGGAGGAGCGCGGCCGAATGCGGCCGCCCTTTGCCCCCGAGCCCGGCCTGCCTCCCGCGGCCGCGGGTCTCAAATCGGCCAAGTACGACTACACGGGGGTGGGCCGTGCGGCGCCCGGCTCCGCGGCCCTGCTTGAGGGGACCCCCTGCGCCGCCGGCTTCAAGGACGACACCAAGGGCCCGCTCAACTTGAACATGACAGTGCAGGCAGCGGGCGTCGCATCTTGCCTGCGACCTTCGCTGCCCGACGGTAAACATTGGCCGGTCGGCCGTCCTCCCCGGGCCAGGACGGGCAGGAATGGGGAGGTGGGGTGCAGCAGGGGAGCGTGCGCAGGGGGAGGGAGCCTCCGGGGGCGGGCAGGCTGCAGGGGGCAGGCTGGGCTGACTAGGGTTCGGGCTGTGTTGCAGGCCTGCCGTGGGGGGCGGCCCCCGGGAGGGCCCGCAAGAAGCGGAAACCCTACACCAAGCAGCAGATCGCGGAGCTGGAGAACGAATTCCTCCTGAACGAATTCATCAACCGGCAGAAGCGCAAGGAGTTGTCCAACAGGCTGAACCTCAGCGACCAGCAGGTTAAAATCTGGTTCCAGAACCGTCGCATGAAGAAGAAGCGCGTGGTGCTTCGGGAGCAGGCGCTGGCGCTGTACTAGCCTGGGGCCTGGCCATGGCCGGGCCTTCCTTTCTGAGCTGAAGCCTGGCGCCGCGGAGGAAGAGCTGAGGCGGGGGCTTTTCCTTCTGCTCCTTCTCAGCTGGTCCTGGGTACTCTCCCGCTCCGCTGTCTGCAGCCCTGAAAGCCAGCAGGAGATTTGGAGACCTGGTCAGATTTGGAGACCTCCAGGCTCTCCCCTTTCCCGGAGGGGCTGTGGAAGTTGCAGCACAACCTTGGCCTTGAGGCTTCCCCAGTGGGGGGCTGGGCGCACCTGTCTTAGCTTTTGACTGCAGCGGTCAAACCTGGGCTCACTCCGTCTCCCTTTTACTCGGATTTCTGCTTTCACGTAGCTATTCTCCCTTCTCCCTCCTCCCTAATTCCTTCTACGTTTAGCTGGCGATGGACTTTAGGAAGGCCTGCGGGGCAGAGTGGAAAGGGCTGTGGGCATAACGGTGTCTCTTTGCAGCCAAAGTCCCTTGTGGGAGAGCCAGGAATCTTGATTTTGGGGAAAGGAAAGGGTGCCGCCACCACCACTCCCTCCTCTCTGCCCTGGATGGTTTGGGAGGACAAGAGTGCCCTAGATCTCCAGACTTGGGGAGGAAGGGGGCAGGAGTGTGGCCCCACAAACTCAGAGACACCTGGGAGTTCAGGCTGGATTGGCCCCTCCAGCTCCGAGGCATGGACTGGATATTCCCTTCCCTTCCCGTGAATGGGACAAGGGAGGCTGGGCTCCATGGAGAACTGCACCTCATGGCCAAGACTGGTAAACTTCCCCTGCTTCTCTCACCCCTCACACACGCCTAGGCCAAAGCCCTGCGCTTTGTAACTGGACCCCCAGAGGGGAGCTCTGATGAGGAGCTGCCAGTCTGCTTGGAGGCTGGGCTGCACTAAAAGGAGGGGGAGATGTCCAGGGGCAGGAGAATGGAGTGAGCAAGGGAGAGGGGCGTCCTACATTCCGAATGTAAACATGACTTTCCTGTCAAGGTGGGAAAAGGTGTCCATGTGTCTTTCTTCCTTAAATGACAGTAACGGGCCACTGTGAGGAGAAGCGAAAGCTCCTCCTTCCATCTATCAGTCGGGGCAGGCAAGGAAGGAGTTTCCTCAGATCCTGGGCCCCTCAAAGCAGCTCACCCCCCTCCGAATCCATGAGGGACCCAAACACCAAGCCCTTTCTGAGGCCATGTCTGGCCTCCCCGATGGAGTCTGAAAGGCTCTGGGCTTTGCGAGGCTTACTTTGTGGAGGCTGGGGTTCCAGGATGCCGAAGGGAGTTGTTCCGCATGTACTGGGGTATCCTGTCTTAACCTCATTGACCCCGCGGGCCCCCTAAACTCCTTTTACCGTCCCTGCTTCTTTGCCCTCTCCTTCTGTGGATGAGCGCCCCCAACTCCTAGCAAGATGCACAACAGCCTAAAAGCTTGAACACTCCTTCCCATGATTTATTTTCAGTGGAGGACCAGGCCCTGGATCTAGAGTGGGCACCTCACAAGGAGCCCCCGAGCCACAGCCGCACTGGCTTTAGTTGATATTTAGATGAATTGCATTTTCTCTGCTATCTAAGAGTTGTCATGCATGTTTTATTTTGTTTTGATTTTGTCAAAAACAATAGCTTGTATATATCAGGCACATAGACATGTTTGGAGCGGAAATAAATATCCAGGTCCCAGCCAAGTTGTCAAGGGACTGCTGTTGATTTATCAAAACGTTTCGGATTCCCTCCTAATGTTTTTCAGGCCATGAAATTTCAGAGCGGTTGCCGCTTCACTGTAGGTATTGACTTGATTGTTCATGAAATGTGAAAATGTCTTCTAAGTCAGTCAGGGAATGATGTACGAACAAAATGTGTGTGAAATGACCAAAGAGGGGGATTCGTGGACAGATTTGAGTGTGTCTCACACACTGAGCAAACCCTCAGCTTATTGCAGGCAGGGCTTCTGTATTTTGCCTAAATCCTCAAACTTGAAAGCTTGCTATTGTTGGGGGGGGGGGGGTTGGTTGGGAAGAGGCTACCAAGATATGAGGTTCCACATATTTCAATACAAACCTCTCACCCTGCCATGTTTTGGTCAGGCTTCTCTAGAAGAGGCTCTGCCCTGTGGCACCTTCGTCTTCAGCCCAGCGAACACCCTTGGGAAATGGGGCCTCTGCACTGCTAGGTTCCCCGAGCCTGTAGCTCAGCCAGGGAAAGCAAGGAAAGGCCTGCTGTGTTCACTGTCCTCTTACAGACCCCAGCTCCAGCGAGCTTGGAGACGGAAGGTAAAGGGTTTCTAGTTTTTAGCAAGTGGGACAATGAACAAAACTGCCTAATCTCCAATACTGACTATGTAATGGTTCCATTTCCCCTTTCCACAATCGAATTTGATGAGTACTTTAAAAATATTTGTGAAGCAGCTCCTTTAAAAAACACAAGGGAGGAAGAAGGAGCCAAGGGGCTGTGGAGGCCCTTTCTTTGGAAATGTTTCCCCATCTTGTGGGGTCAGGGAGGCACTGGTACCTGGAGCTGGTTCCCAAAACATCCAAACAAAAGAGGAGACCATACTCCCATACTCAGACCCCAGGTTCGGGCGCTGGGTAAAGGAACAGGAAGCCGGACTTAAACCGAAGACCTGAGACAGCATGCAGGAGGCCATTTCTTTCCAATATACATCATTAAAGCATCCTGTTCTTTCTCTTTAGCCCATAGGTAGGGTGGGAGGAGATATTCGTGGAGACCACTCCCCAAACAGACTGAAATTATCCTAACTGTAAGATCTTGTCTGTGGCGTATGGCTTGGGCGATGTTTTTCAAATCTATTCCCTTTACTGAGCTGCACAAACACAAAGGCGGCGGTGTGGCGGTGTCCTCTCTCCTGTAGTAGCCGTAGCTGAAATCCGGGCGGGGATTTGGAACCACGATGAAATTCATGAGGAACAAACGCCCAGGAGAAAGGATGCTGCAGTCTGAGGGCTCGACATTCCCTCGCACAAAGACAAATAGGTACTCGGAAATGCTGCAGTACAGGCAGGCCTCTTTACCAAGAAAATGGTTTTTAAACGAGAGGAAGAAAAAACAAACAAACCCCCAAAACTGCTTCTTCTGGCATTCAATGGACTGGGAACCCACGGGAGCCTACGGGACGCTTTTAAGGCCCGGGGCTCCCTCCCAGGAGGCGGGCTGGGGAAGCTTCCGGGAGGCAGGGGGGGTAGGGTGGAGGAGAAATCCAGAACTGTTGTAAATATTCATGTGTGTGCCTGGAAGGGGGTGCCCTTTCACCCCGCCTCTCCCAGCTGTATCCACCCACCTTAGTGGCGGTGGGGGTGAGGGTGGGGGTGCTGGGCGCCCGTCTGATCGTCCTTGGACTAAGGTGATCTCCCCACATTTTGTTGTTGTTGTTGTTGTTCTCCAGTCTCTTGACTTATGGAGCTCATTCCCAAGGCTCTGCAGGAAGGGACTGGCTCTGGGTGTTTTCCCCTCGTTTCTCCTCTTCTTTCGTTTCCTAAAAGAGCATAAATAATTAAAGTTTGGCAGGGAGGAAAAGCTTTCTTGCAGAACTGTAGTGGCAATAAATGAAATGACTCAGAATCCCTTCCCCAGGCAGCTTTTACGAGAGCTGCCAGACAGTGTCTGTTCACGTTCTCCAGATACCAGGGGCGCCCTGACAAAGTTAAGGTCAAGTTAGTGTCTTATCTTGGGTGGCTCCACATTACCGCAGAGCGTCCGGGCGCTGCTCGGAAAGCTGCCACTCGCGGAGCTGCGGGCTGTGCGGGGAGGGTGCGGGGCGCTCCCTGCGCCTCGAGTGGGGTCGAGCAGGGAAGGACGAGGCCACCGCACCGGGGTCTGCACGGTAGGTTCTCCAGCGAGCGGGACGCGCGGGTTGGGAGGTGCCGGTTTTCTTTGGGGTTGGGATAAAGATTGAGAAAGGGAGCTGGGGCCAAAGGACGAAGCGGGCTGGTCCCAGAACGAAAGCCCTGGCTTGGGTGTGGGTGGGGGCGGGGGTCGGGGCAAACGCGCGGAGGGGGCCTGCCGGCCCCTTTTCTCTTTCCACCCGCGAGCCGCCGCCGATGGCGAACCCTCCCCCGCCAGAGCGCGGCTCCAGCCCGAGCCGCCATCGCCATGTCGTTGAACTTGAATGGCTCGTCCTCCCCATTTCCCTCTTAGGCAGCCAGCAGGCTTCATGTGGGGGGCAGAGGGATGCCTGCACCCCACCCCATGCAGAGAGGAGAAGGCGCGAGAATTGTGTGTGCCCCCAGGCACAGACAGACCCGGCCCGGCCCGGGGCCCCGCCCGCGGTGGCCCAGGTCCTGAGCTGCCGCGGGGCTAGTGAGCGGTGTCCCGGGAGCCATTTTAGGAGAAGGATCCAGGGGCGTCAACAAGAGCCCAAAAGGAGGCTTAGGCCGGGGATGCGGGTGGGAAGGCGGATGGATAACTGTTCGGGCAGGCGGGCGGGCGGGCTGAGGAGAAGGGGCTGGAGCTGGGATCTGGGTAAAGGTGCCAGCTCTGAGGAGGTGCACAAAAGGATGGGCAGTTGGGGGGGGGGGGGTTGAAGACGGGGGAGGTTCCTTGTCTTCCAGTCGCCACGGACCAGTTTGTGCTGTGTTCATTCGGAGGAAAGCAGAGGTAGGAAGGTGGGGGCGGAGAGGGGTGGGTGGGAGGGAAAAGGGAAGGGAGGAGAGAAAGAGGAAGAGAGGGGACATTGGCCAGAAAATAGATAGGAGCTCGGATCACCCGCCTTTTCTCTCTGTGTGTCGGCACTGTGGGCAGAGCTCACTTCGGGGGCACCGCAGTGGCCGGAGCCAGGGAGGGAACCCCTGCACAGCCTGTGCCTGCCCTGAGTGGAGGGCTGAGCCCCAGGACTCAGTGTTTCTGACTGCTTGGGCAGAGGAATCCTGGGGAAAGGAGCAACTTCCCACCCTGGATTCTGGGATTTGGGTTTGGGGGAGCATCTTTCTGAGAGGCTGGTTTTACCTTTGGAAAGTGCTGGCCCTTCCGGAGGGAGGCGGGAGCCCAGGCCTTGCCTAGATCCCTTAGGCTAGGAAACAGGGAGGACGTGGCCACCAAGGAGAGCGAGGCCTTGGGGCAAGCGGATGGGAGGTCCTCAGAGCTGAGCCAAGCAAGGAGGCAAGAGCTGCTGAGAGACACCCCCCAAATCAACAGACTTGGGGAGAGGGGGGGCAGTGACTGTGTAGGCCCAAGGGCAGAAAGGAGACCAGGGGGAGATAATGGCAGATAAGCAGGCCTTGATGGGTTCCCACACAGGGCCTGGGCTGTCTGTGAGGCCGGCTGGTCCCACCTCCTGCCAGAAAGCAGAGAAGGGGAGAAGGGCAGAGGCCGGGTGGCTTGTCTCTGGTTGGGGGGGGAGCTGAAGGCCAGGCACCCTGAGAGAAGGACTCCAGGTCCTTTTGTTCATCAGACCCCCCAGCTTCTAGAGGGGCCATCAGGATGTCCCCCTTACTTTAACGCTGAAAGGGAAAAAGGCAGGGGCGACAGGGATCCAGATAGAGGCTGTGACACACATCTAGGGGAAAGGAGGAGAGAATATCAGGAGACGGAGCAGAGAGGAGGAGATAGAAAAGTAGGAGAAGGGGAAAGGAAGAAACAAGAGAAGGGAACAGAAATCAGGACCAGGAGAGCAAGAACTGAGAAGGCTGCAAGAGAGAAGATGAAAGAGAGACAGGAGCAGAGAGAGGAGAAAAGAGGGCGACAGGTCGGAGTAGGCACCGAGGCCCTAGCCCCGGTGAGCTCCTGGTAGGCTGTTTGGAGTGGGTTTTTCCGAGGCTGGCACTTGGGCTCCCGAGGTCAGGAGTGAAGAGAGCCAAGTTCCTCCGCAGCGAAAGCGCTTGGCAGAGAAATATGTAAATCAGACTCCTTGCGCCTGAGAGCTGCGCAATCACGCCCCTTGAAGGAGAAGCAACAAGCTCCTCGCTGGCACGCTGGCTGGGGTGGTGGCGTCGCGGGGGAGGGATCGGCTGCTGGGAGGGGTGTGGAGAGTGGGAACCTCACACCCTCACACCTAGTCCCCAGTGCCCCGGGCCCGGGGCTCCCCCCTCTGCTCTCCGCTCCTTTCCCTTCCCCCTTCCTCCCCCTTCCTCCTCCTCCCTCCTCCTCCCCGCCAGCCTCGGTCCGCGTACTTAAGCGGCGCGGGCGGGCGGCCCGGGCGGGCGGTGGCAGATGCACCCGGCAGTGGCAGCCACCGGCGGCGCACAGGTGACCGGCCCGCGGAGCCGCCTAGCCTAGCCGGGGGCGCCCAAGGAGATCTGGCTGGAGAGGGAGGTCGATCCGCCCCCCAACGCGCGTGCCTCGGCGCCAGGAGCCGTCCCGGGGCGTGTTGGCGAGCGCTGATATAGATATAAGGACATTTCTCTCTCCATGGCGTCACGTGACATAATTACCACCAGAATCAATCAAGATGAATTGCACGTCAGCGCCCGGTGGGGATTTTTGCTTAGTTGATCCTGGCCCGAGCCTCTTGTGCAATCCATGGCTCAGGTTGGCGGCGCGGGGAGCGGCCCGGGGCTGGCCGGCGCGCACGCCGCCGCGGAGCCATGAACGACTTTGACGAGTGCGGCCCGAGCGCAGCAGCCAGCATGTACCTGCCCGGCTGCGCCTACTACGTGGCCCCGTCGGACTTCGCCAGCAAGCCGTCGTTCCTGTCGCAGCCGTCGTCCTGCCAGATGGCTTTCCCGTACTCCTCCAACCTGGCGCCGCACGTCCAGCCCGTGCGCGAGGTGGCCTTCCGCGACTACGGCCTGGAGCGCGCCAAGTGGCCGTACCGCGGCGGCGGCGGCGGCGGCGGGGGCTCGGGAGCCGGCGGCGGGGGCGGCCCCGGCGGGGGCGGCGGCGGCGGCGCGGGGGGCTACGCGCCCTACTACGCGGCGGCGGCGGCGGCGGCGGCGGCAGCGGCGGCGGCCGAGGAGGCGGCCATGCAGCGCGAGCTGCTCCCGCCCGCGGGCCGCCGGCCGGACGTGCTCTTCAAGGCGCCCGAGCCGGTGTGCGCCGCGCCGGGGCCGCCGCACGGCCCCGCGGGCCCCGCTCCCAACTTCTACAGCGCCGTGGGCCGCAACGGCATCCTGCCGCAGGGCTTCGACCAGTTCTACGAGGCCGCGCCCGGGCCCCCGTTCTCCGGGCCGCAGCCCCCGCCGCCGCCGCCCGCGCCCCCGCAGCCCGAGGGCGCCGCCGCCGCGGACAAGGGCGACCCCAAGGCGGGGGCCGGCGGCGGCGGCGGGGGCAGCCCCTGCGCCAAGGCGACCCCCGCCGCCTCGGAGCCCAAGGGGGCGGCGGAAGGCAGCGGCGGGGGTGACGGCGAGGGACCCCCGGGGGAGGCGGGGGCCGAGAAGAGCGGCGGCACAGGTAGGCGCGGGGCGCGGGGCGGGGGGGGGGGGGACGCGGGGGCCTCCCTCTGCTTGCGCCGTTTTATGTGCTACTTTATAAGCGTTCGAAGAGGTTTATACATCCTATAAGATTTCCCGGGCCGTTGTAAAGCGTGTTTACGATAGGAAACCAATTTAGGTGGGCTTAAGGTGGACTTGGAGGAGCACATTAATCGCCACGGAGAGCTTTGCCCACAGTTTGGGGTGTGTCTGTGCTGGAGACCGCGGAGGGAGGCGCGAAGGAGGGAAGATCCCAGGCCCATGTGTTAGTGTGGACACTCGCGCCTCCTGCGCTAAGGTGCTGGCGGAGGTGCTGGTGGAGGGGCTGGCGGCGGGTGGGGGTGCTGGTCCTTGGACTGGACTTTCTCCAAGTCTCTGGCCCGAGCGCGCTGCTGGCCGGGTCCAAGCAGATGCCCGGCGCGCTCGTGTCTCTCTCCCTTCCTTCGGGCTTCGGGCTCCAGCGCAGAGCCTGCCCGGAGCCCTGCTCCCCCACCTGGGTGCCAGGCTGTGTGTGTGTGTGTGTGTGTGTGTGTGTGTGTGTGTGTGTGTGTGTGAGGGTGTGTCAGGGTGTGAACACACGTCCTCGCCCCGCACTCTCTCCTGTGCCCGCCCATATATCATCCCCCCCGCGACGAAGGCAGGGCCTTTCAACAGCCGCAGGGGACGTCCCCAGCAGGGCCCAGGCCTGGCCCTGGCCAAGGCCTGGGCGGGAGGATGGGTGGGCGGAGGTTGGCAGGCGGCGGCCTCTCTCACCCCTCGGTCTCTTTGCCTTGCAGCAGCCCCCCAGCGGTCCCGGAAAAAGCGCTGTCCCTACACCAAGTACCAGATCCGCGAACTGGAACGCGAGTTTTTCTTTAACGTGTACATAAACAAAGAGAAAAGACTCCAGCTCTCTCGGATGCTCAACCTCACTGACCGGCAAGTCAAAATCTGGTTCCAGAATCGCAGGATGAAGGAAAAGAAACTGAACAGAGACCGTCTGCAGTATTTCACTGGAAACCCCTTGTTTTGAGAGCTCCAGGAAGCACCCCTCTGCCCCAAGCCCCACGCACTCACCCTCCTCCCCACCAGCCTGCTTTCGGTAGGCCCAATGTCCTTGGGTTTAATGACGCCTCTTCTCTGTGGAACTCCACCATTCCTTCCCGCGGTCAACTCGGGACCTCCCAGCGACCACTGCTGCCTGCGGACGAGGCCGGGGACTTGGCCGAATGGATCCTAATATGGGGAAAATGGTAATGCAAACGTCCCTTTACAATTTTACCGCCAGTGTGCTGTTGTTTACCCTCTCTCTCCCTCCAGGTCCCAGGGCGGACGCTGTGGGATCTGTAGAGAGTTAGGCCTGGGCTGCCAAGGCACTTGTTTTTGTTCTGAGTTTAAGGGACCCTGTCCTTCCCCCTCGGTGAACGCAGATTATTTAAACTCTGGGAAATGTACGTTTGGTTTGTCGGATCAAGGCACGAGTCACTGTCTTTTGTGTGAATAAATGGTTTCTAGTAAAACGGAGGTTACAGCTTCAATACACTGTATGGAATTTCCTCTTTGAATAATTTTAGTGTCTGGTTAGGATGTTTTAGTGGCCGAAATCTTCTCCCCCGCCCACCGTGCAACTGAAATTCAAGTGAAATGCTTTTTAATTCAGTTAAAGTGAGAGTTGTCCTCTCCCCTGCCCCCCACTGGTACTGGGCATTGGTTTTTAAAAGCACTTTAGGGATGACTTTCTGAATTGAGGATGTGACCCTGGTGCTGACTTCTCCAGAGGATGAGCTGGGGCGGCAGGAACGGAAGTAGCAACCCTCCCTCCGCCTTAGTCTAGTGAACTTGGAATTTGGGAGGAGGCGAGGGGGGGGGGACAAACGAAACAAAAAAACATTTTTTAAAAACTGGTTAGAAAACCCAAAGTCACTCTTAACAAAGTGTCAAGGAGACAAGGTCCCTTAAAAGAAGAAACCAATATCAGAGCACTTGGGGGGGGGGGTTGCAGAAAGGAAATTATAAGTGGGCAGAGGGGGCAGAGAGGTCTCAAGGCGCTTGCTGGTGTCACATCGGGTTTGGAACAGGGAAGATAAGCCGCTTCGTCTTCCTAAAATAGGGCCCAGGGCTGCAGATCCAGCTTTGTCCACATTTATCGCTTCAAGTTAAAGAATGTGTGTTGGGGGGTGGGTGGGTCGTACTGCACTTTATGTGGCAGGACCAGGCCAAGCTGTTTACAAAACCTTGAACTGTCTAGACAACACCATAAAAGCCAAAGTTCTAAACAGCTTAATTGGGTTATATTATACACCTTCTGGTGGGCCCAAAAGAGATTTCCGCAATGTGCAATAAACTGGAGGAGTGAGAAAAGCTTCTCTTTCTCTGAAAAGGAGTAAAGTGAATCTTGTGACTTTTAACCTCTCATAAGCCCAAAGTAAAAAAAAAAAAAAAAAAAAAAAAAAAAATCCATAAGATATACTGCACCACATGCCTCTTCGGAGGAAGCACGCATTTCCAAATGCAAAAATATTTTTAATTGCCAAAGCTTTAGGGGGCAAGGAAAAACATAAGTGCATAAGTGTACGCCTTTGAACTTCCAAAATGTCAAGGTCATCACCTTTAACCTTTCTGAATAATTAGGCGCCTTAAGGTTCTTCTGTGATATTCATCCGCCACCCACTCTCACACACATGCTCACACATCCAGATCCCCACACACATTTATGACCACACAGAATCATATGGAGGCTCACCATAAATCTAAGCAAATTCCCAATTTCAGGATCAATAATCTTAATTTCCCTTCAAGCATTTGTGTAATTCAATAGCAACTGACTTAAAACACACACACACACACACACACACACACACACACAACACTAGTTAGATTAAAAGGTCTACTAGCATGTTTTTAATACAGCTACAAAATGGTGGGGGGTTTAAGGGGAGTCATAGATAGCTGTCCCCTTTGCTCTAATAATGAACCTCCGTTTTAAATGCAGGCATTTGAAAAAGGAAGTTTTATTTAGACTTACACCTTCGTTATGTATTTTAAAAATTGTCGCCTTGTCAAATAAATTATTGCACTTTCTATGACATGGAACAAAAGAAAATATATTGTTTTCAAAAGCGTCCTACAATCTTTGGTGAAAGATGCAATAGAAACAAAGTCTACAGTTGAGTAATTTCGTTTGGAAAGGGATTCCTTTGTTTGGAATTATGGGCGTGCGTTAAAATGTCAGTGCCCTAGTAGTATTAGTATGATCGTTCCAGGAGCTTAAAACTGGTTTATTTCTTTCTCTCTCCATCTATCTTTTTTTTCTTTTTTTTTTCTTTCTTTTTTTTTTTTTTTATTGCGGCTAAATGTAGCAAGCTTGTATGTCCACCACCTTAGGCAAGAAATAGCATTTTCCATTTGTATGGCCTTGGAGAGCCACACGGGGGCGTGCTCACGTTCCAGAAGCCGCGGTTGGCGGAGGGGCCGCGGTACCCTGTCTGTCCATTACTGGATTCTAATAGGCAATCTCAGCCCCGTTAGAAACAGAAGGCCGCTAAGGCATTCGTTTGCTATTTGTTTGTCCTGAGCAGCTATGCGATGTTGGCAGTTGTATAAAGACAGAGAAAAGGGAACCGCCCCTATTTCTGAAAATAGCGATCTCTTTAAAGATAAAGATGTCGCAAGGAGCACCCTGTTATAACCGGTGGAGTTTAGTTGAGATTTTGAAAAGACTGATATGTGCATTTCGAAATAGGTCATGCCACTGCGTGTTAATTAAATCAGGGGGAATCAATATTCCTGTTAGTCTGCGTGCAGAGAGCAATATGAGGATAGGACCACCCCTTCCCCAAAACCGTATCCGTCTTGAGCGCTCTTCGACCCCCTGAGATTAAAAGGCTTTGTTTAAGACAGATGGGGCGTCAGCAAGGTAGCTGAGTGTGGTCCCAGGAAAAAAAGGGGACTAAGGAGGGAGGTCGTTCTGGGCAAGGAAAGTCCCCCTGTCCCCCAGGTAGAGCATAGCTTCAGGGTCTATGGGGTAGCAAGCGGGAAGCACAAGCCGGACTGTGAGTTGGGGCGCCGGCTAGCTGATGCGGCTTCGGGAAGCGGCAGACTGTCCTGGTTAACATTTATACTCCTAGGCGGCAGGGAATGGGTAGTGCATTGGAAGCAAACGGGCTTTGCATTTGACAGACTCCTGGTCACCCTTCCAAGCCGCCTGCAGGCCTTGAGGACAGAATTTGATTTTCCTGTCTCCTGTTGTTCTCCACCACCCACCCCACCCCCTTTGTAAAGCCCCTGACGTTGGGGAGGGTCTGTGTTACCAGCCTTGGGCCTAAAGGGTGGTTCCAAAGGAGAGTTCTCTAGGACGTGGGTTTCTAAGGATGGGTATAACTGTCCCTTCTTCCTCGAAGTTCATTGTGAAGCTCATGAAACCCCGGAATGAGTGCAGGCTCCGCTGTCTCTGTCTCCTCCCTCCAGACCCTGGACCAAAGGCCCTGGGTCCACCCCTGGGAGCCGGCTTCAGTGGCTCCAGGGTGGCTGGGGCACCACAGCACCCTGAGAGGCGCCAGCCAGAGGCATGGGTGTTCCCTGCGGACACCCGGGCTCCAGCCTGTCAGACTGTGGGTCCAGCTTAGATATTTTGAAGTGATATTTCCCAGGGCCTCTCCTGGGGCCTCAGTTCACTTGGGGTGAGAACTCTCCTCCCCAAATGTCATTGTGTTCTTCTTTAAGTGACTGGGGAGGGGGGGTGCATATGGCTTTGTGGAAGGGCGGCCTGGGCCTTGGCCAGCAGCCTTCCTTAAGATCACGGATGCTCATCGGTTTGCAATTCCTTCCCTCCTGGTAACTCCCAGGACGGACTTGGAAAAGGCCAGGGGATTGGATCAGGATTTCTGAGGGCTGTGGACCTGACCTCTGCTGATCCATCAGGGTTATGGGGCTCCTGGAGGTTGGTCATGTGTCTTGAGAGTCTCTGGGGTCTCAGATCTTGAAGTGGAGGGGAAATGCGCTAAATAAGGAATCTTTTGTGTCTGCAAGGGAGAGGTGTGCCCTGGCCCAGGCCCTTTTACCTGTTTTCGTAGACCCCCTCATCCGGTTGGTGGTGGCTTCCCCAGTCTCCCCATTTGCTCCCCTGATTTCTGTTCACATTGGTTGGGAGGTGCACAGCACAGCCCCAAGAGGCGCCTTGAGGAAGCAGCCATTTAAATTTGTCTCCATCCACTCTGTACCCCTAAGGGTGGCCCAGCCCTGAGGCCACACAGGGCCCAAACTTCAGGGCAAACCTAGAGGCCCCCAAGGTCACTCAGGCCCAAGGCTCCTGCTCTTCTTCCCAGGGACAAGAAAGCACAGATGCAAACCAGTTTTTGATTGCAAATGCTAATTTCTTGACAAAGCGACCCTTTTAATTTTCCTCCGGAAAGAACTGTGCCAGGGAGAAGGATGTTTTGGTAGAAACGTGGATATTCATCTCCTTTATGGTACAATATTGATTTATTATTAATGGTAACTGCTCCCACTGATCTAAAGATGATCGAGAACAGTGGCAATGCGGCTATATTAAATAGTCGTAAGCAAAATAAAGGCTGGCCTTGAAAGCCACTGCCTTTTCCTTCCATTCGCTTCATCTCAGCCTTAGGGTCTTAGACAAACTTTCCATCCTCCTCTGCCCGGATGGTTCTCTCTTATTAAAACTATTTTTACTTGATTTTTATGATAAAATCTCTTTGAAATATTGGCAGTTCTCCGGCCTCCAGGAGCTGGTCTGAAGGCAGAAATTTGAAAAATAATAAAATCAAATTTTGTGGTCATTCAAAATTATATCTGATACACTTTTTTCATTTCTGTGCATGAAATAGATTCATTCAAAACCAAATCCAATGTGGGGGTGACTTTGAACTCCAAGCCACCGGGAGCTGAAACAGAAAGGCTCTCAAATCGGAAGGCAGATTCTGCCTGCCCTGGTAGGCTGCGCTCCATGAGGAATCGCTGTTCTTTAGCTTGGCTGTTTTTTTCGTGTGTAAACAAATATTATGAAAGGGCATTTTATTCCCAGTTGGATTGAACAGTCTTGCCTTCTGCGTGGGATAGGGAGAATTGGACAACCCAGTTCCTGGAGGAGAGGGAAAGGGACGGTGTTGGAGCGCCAGGCTGGCGTCAGGGCGCCTGCCGAGAGTGCGTGCAGCGGGCATTTTGTCCAGCCCTGGGCACGTTTTGCCGTGGCTGGGATGATAACCTCCGCCTTTGAAGAAAGCAATTTTCAGTGTGCTGATCAGTGGCTGTTCGCTGGGAATAGGACCTTAGCAGACTAGAGCAAAAAGTTGGTGTTTTGTTTTTTTTTCTGCCTTCCTCATCCTCTTCCCTCTCCCCGCCTCCCCATGCTTAAAATCAGACAACCCTGTGAAAATGTAATGTAATGTTTAACCCTGCGGCTTCCCTGGCAGGGCATCCTGAAGTCCGAGCAGTAAGAGGCTCCAGGCTTTTAACCTGACAATGATGTTGTATTTGAACAGCTGCTTAAAGGTTTGAAAGGTCTGTCTCATTGCCACCG